CACAGAATCACAGAATCACTGAATCACAGAATGACTGAATCACTGAATCATGGAATCACTGAATCATGGAATCACTGAATCATGGAATCACAGAATCACTGAATCACAGAATCACTGGATCACTGAATCACAGAATCGCAGAATCAGCTGGGTTGGAAAAGATCTTGAAGATCAAGTCCAACCTCTGATCAAACACCACCTTATCAACCAAACCACAGCACTGAGTGCCATATCCAGTCTTTTTTTAAACACCTCCAGGGAATTCACCGCCTCCCTGGGCAGCCCATTCCAACGCCCAGCCACTCTTTCTGTAAAGAATTTTTTCCTAATGTCCAACCTAAACTCCATGATCTTGCCAGGCACAAGGTCAGGCTGACAGACCTGTAGTTTCTTGGATTCTCCTTTCGACCCTTCTTCAGGTTCTAAACATGTTTCTACAGTTGTCACATGTAAATAGACCACAAGAAGCTTGATAGGGAAAGCAAAAGAACACAAAACAAACCCAAAGCTCACCAGGCAGATATTACTAACAAGCAAAAAATTAGATAAATTTACCTTAATTGTTGCTTTAATGATATGAGTTCTGTGGCACTGTTCATACTTTAGTAGGTCTTACATCATGAAGTCCCCAGGACAGTTTATTTTGTGGAACAATTAGCAGAGTTCTGGGATCTTGTTCCTTGCAACCCTTTTATTTTTTTCTTATAATCAGCTGCTGGCTTTTAGAATTATGTGTCAAGGACAGAGATAGAAGATATTCCTCAAGTATCTAGACAAAATTCATGAGACACTCAGAACCATCTGTGTTCAAATGATACACAGATAATTTGCTCACCCTTAAATTCAGTCTCAGATAATCACAGCTTTGTTTCTTACATTTGAATTTACAGTTTCATTGCTGAAGCAAATTTCCACTGGTAGTTTTCCAAGTCATATCTTGTATTTCTACAGCGAGCATTACAAGATTTGTACATTTCTATTTCAGCTACCGAATATAAATATATTCCAGACCTTATCTAGGAAACRATTTTAAAAAGATACCTGGTTGAAAATGCTTGTCCTTAAATTCMGTCTCAGATAATCATATCTCWAATGTACTGCATTGCTCCTCTTCTGTTTCTTACATAAGAATTTACAGCTTCATCGCTGAAACGAGTCTCCACAGGTAGTTTTMCAAGTCATATCTTATCTTTCTGGAGCCTGCATTACAAGATTTCTATTTCTATTTCAGCTACTGAATATAAATACATTCCAAACCTTATCTAGGAAATGATTTTTAAAAGATACCTGATTGAAAATGCTGTAGAAGATAATTCTGAATTTATAYCAGATGTCAAGAGCACTGCCTTGGAAGACACTGGGATGTAATTCTCATTGGTCTGAGGCACAAGRTAAGTGTCTGGTTTTACGAATTTCTTAAATACAGCCATAAGGAACACCTCTCACATTGGCAATCCTGTTGCAATTTTTCTGTTAATACAGTTATTCAATACCAGGTGAAATTAGTCACTGGTAAGTCAGTAACAGAGATAAATAGGAGTCATAACAGCAGTAATGAAAATATCTCAGTAAGCCAGTAACACAAATGCTTTGCAACAGGCTTTTAAAAGAAGACATATAGAATTAATCCTCAATAGTATGTTTATTGTTGTTCTTTCTTTGCTATTTTGCCTGTTTTCAGCCAGTSACTGAAATAATAGAAATACCTGTACCATTAACAGTTCCCACAGTGTTTCATCAGTGYTTGAATGTTCTGGAAATGCCCATTTGTATCCAAAACTGCTGCAGCTCAGTGGCTCCTCTAACATGACATCAGACTTGGCTAACACAGACTATTCAATTTGTCCCTCAGCTCCACATTTGGTATAACTTAATTATAAAGTTCTTGTCAGAAAGAACTCAGTTACAATTAAGTCATGGCCACTCTTACAGACACTTGTCTTCTGTTGAATAAAGATCCCTAAAGTTTAAAATTCAATTTACTGCAAGGAATGATAAGTAAACGAACAGTCCCAAGTTAAAATCCAACTGTAATTTATACACAAATGAATTTTACTTTTTAAATCACTACTTTTTAAATCATTAAATGAGCATGATAACTTTATGAACTATCAGCCAGAAATGGTTTCTCTCCTCAGGTTTACATGCAATAGAAATAATACAACTGCCCATAGTATCAAGCCAAAACAGTAAACTGAAGGCATGGTTATGGATTTGGAGATTTTTGTGTCAACAGTACCACCTGCTGGATATCAAGAAGAGGCAGAGACTAATCAAAATTAGTAAAACTCAGATTATGGCATAATTCAATACCGGTCTYGCATAAATGTCACCATAACTAAACTGTTCCAAATGAACTGGTAACAAATTGTCAGATCTYCTAATGCACTCCCAAAACCCTGCAGAAAGGTCACTGACATTTTCAACATGTATGTTTTGTTAAATCAGATATTCAAAACTCACTACACACAATTCATCATATGAATACACAAAATTCAGACTCATCAGCCTAGCAACCCCATTTAAAAGCACTGGGTTATTACTATTAATGACAGTGCTAAGTATGGATTTTGGTGGGTTTTTTTAAAGTTAATTACATAAATAATGTGTTATTTCACTATAATATTATTTGGCAGGGTGGAAGGAGTGCACAAAAATTCCCTCAAAGCACTAAAACAAGCAACCCCCCCCCCATTTGTTACTATTGAGCTACTGAGCATTAACATTCTGTGAAATCCCCAAAATAAGCAGCTATTAAAGGACCTCAATCCAAGTGATTTCACTGAAAGGTTAAAGCTTCAGCAAGAATATACTGAGCACTGAAACCCCCTAGTGATAACATAAAGGCCCCCTGACACAGAACAGAATTGTTACCATGTTTCCTGCTACTTCTCAATAAACAACTTTTTGACTGTGTCACATTAGCACAAAGAACCACTCATCTTTTCAGTTCTCTGTCTTCTACCAGGTCACACTTCCTTCAGAAAGCTGTGCTCTCTTTCTCCATGAAGAGTTCCATCCAAGCACACTTCAATCTTCCTCTAAATCTTAACAGATTTGCAGCAAAATCTGCTTTAGTTACCTTCAGAGATTATCATGTGATGGATCCAACGGGGCACTGCAAGCAACAGAGAACCCCTGAGTTCCTATCTAAAACTGAACGCTTAATTCACAAAATAATAGCACCTTGATATTAAAAAAAAAATAAAGTAAAAAATGCTTTAATTACAAAGCAGAAAACTAACATTTAGAGCCCCTTCCAGTACAGAGAGAGCTGGGGAGATTTACAAGGACATGCAGTTATAAGACTGGCTTTAAAGAGGGAATGTTTTTAAACTGAAAGAGGATAGATTTAGATGAGGTATTAAGAGGAATTTCTTCACTCYGAGGGTAGTGAGGCAGTGGCAGAGGTTRCCCAGAGAARCTGTGGGTGCTGGAAATGTCCAAGCCCAGGCTGGACGGGGCTTGGAGCATCCTGGTGGAAGGTGTCCCTAGGATTTGGAACTAGATGGTCTCTAAGATCCCTTCCAACCCAACTCACTCTACAATTCCACCCAAACCACAATTCTAAGCCTAATGAGAGATGCAGCAAACAAACCCAAAAACTTAAAATTCACACTTTACAATAACGTATCACATCACAAGCTCATGGAATAAATGTTAAGACAAGAACAGGGGTGCATAAAAGATTCACTTTGCTCAGAATTAGCGTGGAAAGCAAGAAGCTGGGTAAATGTTGCCTGATCGTTTATGAAGTGTGGGGGAAAAGRGCCCCACAAGTCCTGATTCTGAAATTCAGCCAATTATTGTGTATGACTGAGGCCTGGGAAAWGAAAGGGAGTGTTAACAGCCTACATGGAGGAGGAATGCTGCATCCTTGAGAAAAGCAGATTGGAATGCAGAATTGATAACGCAGGTGGCTGAAAATTATAAGCATTACTAATACTGTAGCTTTTGCAAACTCACCAGTTATGTTCTGATTACTAATTAAACAGCTGTCTCTTGACCAATGTATGTTTGACACAAATGTATATGCTGGTTGCTAAAGTGGATAAAAGAGGCTGGTCCCATAAAAAAGTGCATATAACCTGCATTTTTAAAGAAAAAGACGAGTGCAGTACCACTTGAAATTGCCATTGCAACAATTGTTTGACCACTCTGGTTTGAAATACCTCTCAATCACCTGTTTTCAAGTCTTAGAACAAAGGAAAAMTAATGTTGAACTTGCCSTTSCAGTTCTTAGGTTGTTTTTTAAACAGTATCTCCCATCCMAACARGCTCAGTTACTTTGYAATGGTCTTAGAGCACCTACCTAGYTGTGAAATTCTTTATACAAAAAAAGGCATAAATGTAAAACTGTAAATATAAATATAAATGTATAAATTCTTTCCTTCTGTTTTTTCACCCACTTTTGTGYGTTTTGTATCTATTCTTTTCCGTCGCTGTTTGGCCAGCAGCGACRATGAAGAACACATTTTATGCTCCTCATAACACAGTCTCTTTGACGTATAAACCAACACACAAATTCAGGAAATGCTGTTGAATAGAGTAATGCTGGAGTTAAATCATTGGAAGCTCTAAATCATTGGAAGAGAACGCTTCTTTAAAAGAAAAAATGGAAGGAAGAGCAGAAGAGCCCCAAAGAGACACTGAACTGGATGTGTGGCGGCCTCGCCGGGCGGGGCTGGGACCGGAGGCGCTGGCAGCCGGCGGAACACGGCGGGGAAACCAACCGCATTGTTCCGCCCTCACCGTCACACAACGCTTTCCCCGTCATCACCTACCGGAGGGTGAAAAAAGGCCCTTTCCCGGCGCGGCCTCAGCCCGGCCCGGCCCCGCCCGCTCCTGAGGGCCGCAGGCCGGGGCGGGCTCTGCCGGAGCGGGGCCGGGGCCGGGGCTGTGGCTGAGGCTGTGGCTGAGGCTGAGGCTGAGTTTGTGGCTGTGGCTGTGGCTGAGGCTGAGGCTGTGGCCGTGGCTGTGCCTGAGGCTGTGCCTGTGTTTGTGGCTGAGGCTGTGGCTGTGGCTGTCACCGTCACCGTCACCGCCTCCTGCGCGGGGCCTGAGGGCGGTCGGACCCGCCATGGGGCAGTGCCTGCCCTGCATGGGGGGCGCCGTCAAGGACGTGGTGGAGACGCCCGATCCGGTGAGTGTGGGAAGGCGGGCGGTTCCCCAGCGGTTCCCCAGCGGTTCCCCGGGCCTGCTGCTCGCTGTTTATCGCTGCCGTGAGGGAGATAGGGAGGGCGGGGAGCTGCCCTCATCAACATGGAGCCAGGCCGCGGGGCTGCGCAGAGCCTCGCCAGGCTGTGCCGGGGGAAGGAATCCCGTTCTTCATCCCCCGGTCCCGGCTGGGCAGAGCTGTGGGGCCGAGTTTGGCCGATCGGAGCACCCCACAGCTTCCATTTACCCCGGAGCCTCCCGCTGCTCCGCCCCACGGATCACGCTGTGTGGGGACGGCGGTTTCGGTCCCCAATCGTGGCCAATATGACCCCGATTTTTACAAGAAATAGGAAAAGCTTTTTTTTTTTTTTCTTCACTGCGTAGTGATGCTCGGCTCTAACCGCCTCCGCTGCATGACGTTTTTGCTCGCTAAGAGCCCCTCTCTGTGCTTTGTGCCCCTCACCTGAGCATTTCAAGRGGGACAAGAAAAAGGAACCCGCATTCCTCTTCCCAAACTCCGAAAGGACGKTTCACCCWCTGCKTGCCATTTCACCCCAGYCTGGATTTTTTYGAGTGAAGGAGTGAAAGAGCTGAATAGCGATTTCTGGTGGRGTTTGACAGTAGATACGCCAGCAGCTSCCCTCACCTGAGCGTTTCAGAGGGGACAAAAAAAAAGGAGCCCTCTTCGCCTGGAAGAGCAAAATCATTCCTCTTTCCAAACTTTGAAACGTTTCACCCTCTGCGTGCCATTTCACCCCAGTCTGGATTTTTTCGAGTGAAGGAGTGAAAGAGCTGAATAGCGATTTCTGGTGGGGTTTGACAGTAGATACGCCAGCAGCTGCTTTTTTGGCGTATTGATCACTAAAAACACTTCGTTCTTGCAAGGGGAAGATGATGYTAATTGACTTCAAGTTGACATTTTGTGGGAGTTTGCGTTACTGATTTGAGTTATACTTAAAAATTAAGACTTTAAAAAGAATGCACAGACTGTATTGAAATAGAATTTCACTGTCTTTAACGTTATTTTTAGGAAGTRAAAAGAAGACAACTAGCAGAAGCTGCTGAAAAGAGGCAGATGGAGGTAATGTCTGATAAAATGCCATTTTTTGAAATTGTTTTGTATAACTGGTTTATGGGGAGAGTGGCTGTGGCTTCTGTGATAACAGTGGGTATCATGTTTGGATGGTGGGAATTGTAATTATGTACTTTACTAGTGTTAATTTTACATTTTTACATTTATATTTACAGTTTTACGTTTATGCCTTTTTATGTATAAGGAATTTCACAGCTAGGTAGGTGCTCTAAGACCATTGCAAAGTAACTGAGCTTGTTGGGATGGGAGATACTGTTTAAAAAACAACYTAAGAACTGGAAGGGCAAGTTCAACATTAGTTTTCCCTTGTTCTAAGACTTGAAAACAGGTGATTGAGAGGTATTTCAAACCAGAGTGGTCAAACAATTGTTGCAATGGCAACAATTTCAAGTGGTACTGCACTTGTATTTTTCTTTAAAAATGCAGGTAATATGCACTTGCAGGTTCTCTTTATCAAAAACAACAGTGTGAGTATGTTTATCAGCAAAGATGTAACATTAACTTAGCCTTCTGCCTTTTTAAAGTTGCTAAGCTTTAACTACTCCAATATCTTTAAACTTAGAAGAGAGGATACAAATGTTCTAGCAGAACAGTCAGCCTGGGGTTTTTTTTCCATTATATTTGGTTTTTTTCTATTATATTTTGGGGGGTTTTTCCATTATTCCATATTACTTTTTCCATTTACCTGTTGTAGATTTTGAATAATGTATCTTAGAGACCACAGCTGAACTGTGAAGAGAAAGGAATTTGTTATTTGTGTGAATGTTAGTGACATTACATACTGAATTTGGAATTGACCATTATTCATAGGGACTGTGTCAACCTGGTTTGAAGGGAATTTGGTAAATAATGGAAGCAACAGCTGAGTGATGCTTTAGACTCCTTAAAACTCTTGATTTTGTGTCATTCTATGTAACCCACATGTTATTTTCAGTCACAAAGGGGTTTTTAAGTATATCTGTAGGAAGTGTCTAGCTCTTAACTGGGTAAAAAGCTTTCCTGAGAGGAAGGAAAATGAAGCAGCTGGGATTGTGGATGGCCTTGAAGTTTTGTGGGATCCATTATGCTGCCAAGCAAAATGGAAGTATCACTCTCTGTTACTTTTTGTTTCCTTGGAAGACAGAGATAAAAAGTTTACCAGGATTCTTCAGGACTGTGGGGTCATTTTAGCCTCTGAATGTTGGGTAATGGGGATGTTTTGCAAACAGCCTTGTTTAGTTTGGGCCTTGTGAGGGGACAGGAGGGTAAATCAAATGCCTTTCTCTGCTTAGTGTTTTCCTGCTTCTTACCTGCTCATTATCCATCCTAAAGCTGTGTGAGCTGTTCTTCCTTTTGGGGTGCTACAGACAGTTTGGGTACCTGACTCACTAGGATCCACTTTCCTAAAAGGCAGGTACCATATGGTTTAAGTAGGTTGGTATTTGATGGGAAGATCTGTCTTAGGAGCCCATTGGGAATTGAGCCTAATTGTCAAGACCTTGAAATTCAGATGAAAGCATGGCTGTTTTCCCTTGGTAGATTTTAGCATCTTGTGTGTAAGTTCTACTGTGTTATAACTCTAAACTTAGCTAAGAATCACTTTTTAAAACATTTTAATTTTCTATTTCTTTTGCATGGTGTTGACTGTCTGTAATTCTGATTTCCTGCCATCCAGTCTAGCTTGTCATTAGACAGTTCCCATGAGGATGTGAAGCAGGCAGTTCACAACAGGTTTTTCATTTGGTTCTCCTGATGTCTACACACCCTGTGACATTTTGGAGACTGTCACGCAGGTTATTTCTCACAGATCACAGTTTAAAAGTTGAATTTCTTTACAGACTGGGCTAGCACTACTAACACAACCCTTCTCCCCTGTTTCTGAGGGTAAGAGTAGGCCCTGACACTGGAAAAACCACAGACTAAAAATGCGTGGATTTTTGGGAAGGGAGGTTCTGGTTCTGAATCTGAGGATTAAATGTCTTCACCTGGATTTAACAACAGTGTGAAACAAAAACATCCTCACTTACTATGGGGCCAAGAGCCCATAGAATGAAGAAATATCCTGAAAGGGCTGCTTTGAATAATGATAGAATTACTAAGTGTTTCAGTCTTCATGCAAACCACATTAAATGGTTTCATTAAATGATGTTGCCAAGATTGCAGTTTGGTTTCTCTCCAGAAAAATAGCTACCTTGGTCTTACCCAAATGTGTTTTCTCCCAGGCTTCCTCTCGAGGTATTAAGAATGTATACTCTGTMGAGCAGAAGAAAAAGAAACAGGAAGAAATGGAAAAAAGGATGGCAGCTGAACGTCCTGGAGGAGAAGGAGGACTGAGAGTAAGTTTAAAAAAGAAACAACATGGTTCAACTGCCTGTTTATTCACTGTGAAAATCCTCTTTTGTCATGTAGAAAACTGAATAATGTGAGAAAAAAGTCAAAAGGAAAAGAAATGGAGTAGAAATGGAAGCATGTGTCATCATGCAATGTTCTTAATGATACTTCATCACTAGGACAGAAAGACAGCAAGGATGGCAGAGAACTTTTTTTTTTTCCCCCTTCCCCCAGTTTCTGCACCTATGATGCATCAGTTTTACAGGTCTGGGTCAGCACTCGGGGCCTCACCACTGTGCTATCCTGTACTCAGTGTCCCTTTTCAGKGCCAGTTGAGATTGTCTCCCTTCCTTTAGAGCTTCTAGGAAACATCTGTACTAAGTAGGGCAATGGTTTTGGTGTTTGTGTGTGTCTCTCTTTACGAAAGAAACATGGTGTAAATATGGATGAAATTTACTACTATTGCTATTCTAATGTAAACTTTGTCCCAGAAGGTGAGGCAGAGATTTAATGAACAATTATAATTTCTCAAAAACAATAGATGCATCTGATCATTGAAACTCAGGTTTCATAAGCCTTCATCCTTTGCCCTCATTGCCATATATGACTCAGGAGGCAGGAGTTTGTGTAAGTTGCCTGGCATGCTGCATGTCCATCACTTGCTGGGTTAAAAAGTGTTAGAACAGAAAATTTATTGTAGCTGGACAGCCTTGTGGTGTGTGTTTGGTTGGGTTTTTTTCCTTTCTTTTATCTTCATACAAACCTGAGGTGTGCTTTGTTTGATTTTTTAGTGGCAGGTTGGATAACACGTGACTTTTGGAGAGAAGATGGTTGATGTTTACTGCCAAAAACTTGCCAGTTTGTGCAGCAGAGTGGCACTTACTCATCCTGTGGCTTTGCTGTTTACATCTGAAGACTCAGCAGTACTTTGCCATTGTGGGACAACAGAGGTGGAAACATTCATAAGAAACTTAAGAATTAACTCTGAACACTAAGGTTTTGCCAATTTTGTTTGTTTGTTTTCCATGCATGTTTTATTGCTTCCCTGTCAAGAYTTCCTGTCAGCTGGAAGTGGCCTCCTTACCTGTAGTCAGTCAGTATGTCTGTCCTGTCTGGTCAGTTGATGTCTGTCTGTCTGTGTAAGACTGGCCTAAGCAAGCTCAGGTGCCCACATGTTGGTTTTGATGCTTATTTCAAGCTCTACAATTAAACTTTTCTCTAAGTCCTCATGTAGATAGTTGTTCATAAATATATATATTTGAATATGCAGGTGATAGCATTTCTCTTCTGTTTCCTAATGACTTTTGAACTGCTTAGGAATTTAGTGCCTTTTTCAAAAGAAGAAAAGTCGATTCATGGTGGGTCCTTACAAAATAGAATCATTTTGTGACTAGCCAAAAAATAAATAAATAGAAGCCTTTATAAATCCTGTATTCTTAGATCAAGAATGGTGTTTTATTATGTGTCTAATAATTGTTCTTATTTTCTCATGTGGATTTCTTTTGGGTCTGTAAGTATTTATAATGAACACTGAAAGTTAAACATGAAATTAAAAATCCTGTTATTAGTTGTCCTCCTTTATTACCACGAGAGGGCAATGCTGCCATTCTCAGGATTTTGAAAAACAGGAAAAAGTTACTACGTTAAAAGTTTCTGTATTATCTGTTTAGGTGGACTACCTGCTGTGCAGAAACATTTCTTTTCCCCAGAGGGCATTATGCCCATTTATGCATGGGCTGTGTACCACACTGTGGTCCCATTTCTGACCTGGTCAAGACTATGAAGGCCTTTTTATTTTTTCACCCCTTGACCTCTGTGTTTTGTCTTTCACCTCTCTCGATAGTGCCTAATGCTGCCCTGGCAGTTTCCTGGCTTAGCCTTCAGAATTGAGTTGAGAAGGGAGAATTTTCAGTATTAACRTCATGGTGTTTGGGCTGAAAAAAGCTGTGATCTTGAAGATGCCTTCAGTTTCCTTTGATTGCTGGCCATTGCTCTCTTCGGTGTATTCACTGGTCATAGTAATTTTTTTTAGAGTTCAGTGAGTATGCATTGAGTTACAAAACAATTATCTCAGACATTGAAATATTCCAAGAAAGTGTAAGTGCTGCATAAGTGTCTTTGTAGGACAGGTACGGTGATGTTAGATTGATCTGAAATGAGAATTTCAAACTCAAAACATTTTTCTCTTCATTCTCTGTCATGCTGCTCCCCCAGAACTGCAAGGGGAGCAAATAACCACGAGTCTCTTGTCACCCAAATCTCAGCTTGCGTTAGTGCCATGAACACTTTTCATTTAAAGCCATCCAAAGAACCTAGTGAAACCAAACACAGTTCCTGTGCTTGTTTGTCTCCCTCCTATGTAAAAGCCAGAGATGTCTATGCTTCTGAAGAGACCTTGTTTGAAATGTCAGATTAATCCTACAGCTATGGAACCACATCAGAGGATTTGGGAGTGTGTAGTTTTAGACTACAAATCACCTATAAATCACCTTAAAAGAAGTTCTGATACCTTACACAGCCACTTGTTCAAATGACCAGGCTCAAATGCTTGGAWATTATTTGGATAAATAAAAACTCTTCCTGTTGCTGTAAATTTCAGTTGAGAAAGCAGAAACTACTGCAATCCAGTAGTGTACAGCTGCTAGCTACCTGACATGTCCCATTAAACAGAAGGCTGAGAGCTGCATCCTTGAGAGCTCCTCTCTTCACAGATGTCTTCCCTTTCTTACTGCTTACTGCAGTAAGTTAATGTGAAACACAACAGGAGTTTTGTCCTTATTTCCCCCAATCCTAGATGTTTACTTCACCTCAGAGGTTATTAAAATGCACATGTGCATGCAAATTACCCAGAGAGTTGACATTTTGTTTACATCAACACAACTCTTGTCTTTTTTCTTCATCTTCTGAAAGCACWGTCTTGCAGATCACTTCAAAACCTGGCAGGCAAAGCCCAGAGCTGTTGAGCTGGRCTGAAAAGCTCTCCCTGACTGTGAYAGCATCATCTTTGTTGCAGTAACAAAATGAAACTTTGCTACTCCGTTCTGGTAAAATACACATTGTGCTAGGGAGAGTGCTGAAATTGGGGAAGYTGCAGTAGCTGTGTCTCCACAAGGATGGGCCCTGAGGAACACAGATGATTTCAGCATGTGGATTTGGCACAGTGGCACAACTAAACTGGGACACAGCTCATGAGGCACAAGCAGTGCCAGCAGTTTCTCCAGGTCTGGGAAAGCCTGCCCAGTCCCATAAATGTTTGTGTGATCCCACCTGCCTGTTCCACCTTATCTTAGACAACACACCACTGGCTAAGAAAGGACACAGATAATAAAAATAAAAATTAAAATATTGTACCTGCTTCCTTGGCTGGTGCTGCAGGGCAGCAGCCTGAGGCAATACAAAGCATAAACCCAAAAAAGAACCAAACCCTTGTCAGCGTCTCCATCAGATGCTTCTGGAACACCGTGACAAACAGCTCCTTCCAGATCTAAAGTGAACATGTGTGATGGATTTGGTGTTGAGCCTTCAGTTACAAGAAACTTGCTACACCTTCCCACACAYAACTGCCTTCTCATTTCACTCATCCCCACCAGCTTGGACCAGCTGCCACAGATTTTTCCATATCTTCTCTCAATTGCTGTTGGAATAAAAGGTGGTACTGCAAAGGAAGGAGCAATTATCACTATAATAAAGATATTAAAAACCCCTGTCTTCAATCAGTGATGTAAATGATCCTGCTCAGAAGAAAAAACTCCAGACAAGGTGACAGAAGGCACTTCCTAAAATGAGCAGTAACAGATGTTACAGGTACATTTCCAGACTAATTCTGCAGAGCTTCCAGCATGGTGAGTCATATCTGACACTATAATAATGGTTTTTATAAACAATTTTACATGATTTATCCATTTTAAGATTAAGCACAGTTTATTCACAGCCAGCTCCCAGAGGGTTTGGCTTACAAGGACATTGAGAAAAGACTTTGTTGCAGCTCCAATCAGTTAAACYTTTTAGGACTTKAGCCTCCTCAACATTCAAATTCAGYCAATTTACACAGCAATAGAATGAGTTAAAATCACTACATCATAGAAAATGGCCTAAATCTGTTCTGCCCCACCATTGCAACAAGAGCTGTATGCCTTTGAGCAAGATTCTGCTGCTCAGCTTTGGCTTTATAAATTGAGCCACAGATTCCTAGCAGATTTTTTAATTGCTATATTGCTACAGGACCTGATGCACTACAAAAATACCATTTATTAGATCAGCAAGTTACCTCCAACCTTTTCTTCCAGCATTTTTTGTTTTGTTGATGCTTTCATTTCCTCCTCTGTTACCCACACCCACACCAACGCAGTCAAAAGCAGTTAAGTCCCACCTGCATGTTTTTTACACAGGTGGTGCTGGCAATACTTTAAAATAAAATCTTTTATAGGTCCTGGAACTGCCAAAGTTGAAGTTTTAAGTCAGGAAGTGTTTTCATGTGATTTTGTGGTAAGACATTTGAGTAGTCTGAATCAAAAAAAGACTATTTTGATAGGTACAGTCCAACCACATAAAGGGGTTCATGTTTAATTTAAAATCTTGATTTGGATTTACTGAGACCATGTAGAATATTAAAATAAACCTAAGAATACCTTTTTAACAATTATATGCTCTTGATTTATTAATACGTAAACACCTTCAAATATTTTAAAAAACCAACATCATAATAACATAAACTTGGCCTTGGATGATGAAAATAAAGGTTGAAGATCTTGGAAGTCTTTTCAACCTTAATAATTCTATGAAATTCAGCTAATTATGTTTAAAGAACCAGCCATTATTTCAAAATAAACATCTCACATTTTCACGAGTGAGTTTTTTTTTTCCCGTCTGTTCATTTGAAAACAGTGCTTATATGAAGATCATGATTTTTCTTCAGCTGCACTGCATTTTTCATAAAAATGATGTTGCTTGTGGTCTGTTTCCTGCTCCTTTATGGGGAACATACATTGCTTCTATGACAACTGAATCTTCCTATGGCTTTTCAAAGGTTTTATTGCTTCACTTTATGTCTAATCTTCGTAGAAAATGTTTCAAAATGAGAATCAAAGGCTGCAACTTTGGAATTATGTCCTGCTACTCTGCCTGATGCACTTGTGAACTGTCTGTATTGAAGCAGGTATTTTTGGATGGTGAGGTCAGCCTTTTCCACAGAAGTGAGACACAACACGCTGATTTTAATAAGGCATGGAACATGAAAGATGGGCTTGATCCTTTCTAGCCCACAGACATTTTGCTGTCAATTTTAAAGACCCACAGGAGCAGATCATAAGACCATYTTTTAAAATTAAACATCAGAAAATAGAGAAAAATACTAGTCAGTGCTAAAAATATATATTTTTAAGGATGTTTTCAGGGTTTTTTTTCCTGCAAAGAAAAATTACTTTTCARTAAAATTTGGGTATTTCTGTGCTGTTTGCCCCTTTCTTCGTGCAGCTCATTATTAGGGCAAAAAGCATCCATTGTAGGCATCCAGTCTGTAGCAGCAAAGTGGAGATGAGAGATTACAAATGATGAGAGTTTCAAAATGTATGAGTATTTAAAAAAAAAATTTATTCCATTTGTAAATTTATACAGTCAGTGAAACAATCCTATAAAATGATTTTTTTCTAGGATGTTACAAGGCACATAAATTACCAAATATAAACATAGAAAAGTAGCCAAAATCATGAACTAAGCCCACCTATGCCTTTGGGTGCATTAGAGGTGTGTGTGAATGATGAATGGGAACGTGAATCACTCTTACAGGGTGATGAATATTTCMCATTTGGCATCACCAACAACATTAAAAAGAAGAGGAAGGAAAAGCTTCTCCAAATCCAGAGGGATTTGCATCTTCTGAAGCTCCCACTCGGGTCTGAGGGCTGTGTCCCTGTTCCTGCTTCCCTTTTGGGCTGCAGAACATCACCCCAATTCCCTTTTGGGTGTGAACATCCCTGTCTGACAGAGGAATGGCCAAGCTCTCCACTYCCCATGCTTCTGTATTGGCAGCTTTGTGAAAAACAAAAAAATCTACATATAGATCAAACACTCAGCATCATCTTCAGCTTTAAAACGGTGTCAACAGGGCTTTTTTTTCTTATAAGCAATGGCTTCAAGAAGTTGTTTGGCATGCAATAAGCCATTCTATTCTACTAATTAAGAAAAGGTTGCAAAACATACAAATAGTCAATTTTTATTTCATTTCAAGAGACCAAATAATTTCCACAAATACTCATTTTCCCACCTGCATATATATATTTCCTAGCCTAACAGTCAGGGATTCAAAGTAACAAGATTTTCATACAAATATATTTTATTGTGTATTTTCTTCCATTAACAGGATYGGCTCCTTTATGTAGCTCTAAGTATACATTCACGTATTAAAGAGTAATAATTTGGCTAAAAATATAAGTCTATTTATTATCTGATTGTAGTAATTAGCCTATCGAGGGTAATTTGCTATAAAAGATACAGTACTAGAAATAAATAGTTCTACAATTCAAAGATCTTCAAAATGGGGTGTCACTTCCAGTCTGTTTGAAATCTTCCAAAGTCCTTTCAAAGCATTAACTAAATTCGCTACACTTGGGAAAAATAATTTGGACCTACAGACATAAAGTCCCGCTCACATGAGAAGTTTTTTTCACTTAATCTCCTTCTTGGTTTTGTAATGGGCAGAAACAACCAGGTAATTGTCTGGATTCATGTCCCTGAGGTTTGGAGATTTGCTCTGGATTGGAGAGGTTTTGCCATCTACTCGGGAGATCTGCAGCATTCGGCACGGGTCGTGCTTCAGCAAATATCCTGCAAAAGTCTCCCAGCCTCCCCCGACACGAACCATCACGTGTTTGTTGTGCAGCATCTGAAATCACACAGGCAAAAAAAAAAAATAAATTAAAAAAACCAGAAATCTTGAGAGGCCACCATTCACAGAGGAAATCATGCTTTTGGCTGCTGTAAAAAACTCCCTGCTTTAACTGAAAGTTGAGAGATTACAAATGGTAAGAGTTGCAGAACGATGTCTGGGACAAAGGAAAAATGTCAGTGAAAAATGACATGTCAAGGAAACATCAAGAAAAGTTAATTAGACATGGCATTCCTGTTCAGAATGGAATTTGTAGGTAAAAGGACAGTGCATTTCCAAACTTTTGGGTGACATCTGGTTGAGTCTGAGCACCATCAAGGTGACACTTTCTCATCCCCTCCAGACACAAGGAAGACCCAGATTTTGGGAGATTTTGAGCAGAAATCGAGCTGCTCTTGGCTGCAGCAATGATTCATGAGAAATATTTCATGCAACACTCAGCAGAAGGGATGACACAGCAAACAGATTAAATGCATAAAAAGAA